AGTTATATACATTTATTTCATCTGCATGTTATATGCGTGCAGATTTGTGTTATGGAATATATAAAATTACAAGGGGTTTAAAATACCAAGAGGTGTTTAGTGATACCCTCCGCCGTTCTGTGGGAAAGTGATGGCCGGACCGTAGACTTGAGGATGCTGAGCCTTGCCGGAGTAGCTGACCTTGGCCACGAATCCCCTGCCGTGGTCAGCTGTGTAGTCGACCTGTATTAGGGAGATGAATGATTGTCAGGTTATTGCAGTATCAGATTTGTAGTGCTTCTGTGAAATGGTATAGAATTTCGACAAGTGCATTTGACTAGAAGTGGTAGATCATGATTTTATTTTCTACTTTTTTAGTATTATTTTATATTTTATATATTTGTTATTGATATAGAAACTTGACATGGCAAACCATGTGAGAACGTAGTATTGAACAATATAATTTTTACTTGTTGCTTGCGGCCGTCGGGAAGGGCGACGGTGTAGGATCCCCACACGTTGCTGCCGTCGGACTTCTCGTTCTGACCGAAGTTGGTTCCCGAGTAGGCATCGTTCACGGCGTAGTTGAAATTGTAGGGGATAGGGCCCTGAAAGCAGTCGCAGCGACAGTGATGAATATTTTTCAGTTGTCACGAAATTTGAGTGTTATATAGTCATCTTTTCCTATATTTGATTTTACTGTTATTGTCATTTTGAGTAGTAGTTTTTAAAGTTTTGACTAACTTACTGAGGCATAAACAGGTCCTCCTCCGCCATAGTTGCTTGGATGGCTCTGTGAGACGGCAAGGGCCACCAGAACTACAAGTGCCTGTAATTAGATACTTTTTATCATGACATTATTGCAGGATATGAATATATTTATTTTCATGGAAATTCCAAAAGGTGTCACTTTTTTGGTTTGATGAATTTGAAGAAAAATCAACAGCATTGTAACAAGTGATGACAGTATTTTCTGACGCAGAATTTCATTTTTTATGAGTTCGTAATTTCGTCAACGCTTTGGATTCACTTTCACTCCTAGCACATGTGATATAACACTTGACACTAACTTGGTAGATCATCCTAGAAGACGAGATGAGCAGATTTTGTGGCGATGGCTGGCGTTGGAGTGAAGACTGTTTGTCCCGACGCTCTTTTATACTTCAGAGTTTTGCAGCCTTGGATGATGATTGGGCAATGTTTGATTTTGTTGCAGTTGCAGTTCGAAGCCGCATTCAACCCCCGCCCCTCCCCTCCGTCAAAGTGACATTATTTCATAATTCGCGACGGTGTTTGCCAATTAGAGCTCATCGTTTTGCCAAGTCATTTTTGCAGGTTTTCTGTTGCGTCATATCGGTGTTATGTATATAGAGGCTCTAGGTCTGTTTATAGTTTTTTTTATATATATTTTCTATTAATATTATGTATTTTTATTAATATTATTACATATATCCTTTTATATTAAGTAAAAATAATATTTTTCGGGGAAGTGAGAAATTTAAGTACTCGTCCCGGGTGTCTCTCTCTCTTCGCTGGCTGTCGCTGTCACTCAAAGGAGTAGAAGTTAAACATTATTTACTCTAAATTGTTCTTTCTGATTATCGAATGCACATTATCGTGCAGTTTAATGGTGTTACCGCTAACAGATATAATCACAGGGAATGTAGAGTGACACATACATATATTTATATATATATATATATATGTGTGTGTGTGTGTGTGTATAATATGTATAATATATATATGCATATAACATAATATATGTATATATAATTTATATGTATATGATAGATATAATGTATATAATGTATGTCTATGTTTGTGCATATATATATATATATATATATATATATATATATATATATATATATATATATTTATATATTTATTTATTTATTTTTTTGTATATATAAATATGTATGTGTAAACTTATACATGTACACACACACACACACACACACACACACACACACACACACACACACACACACACACACACACACACACACACACACACACACACACACGACTTCGATCTAAAAAAAAATATGTTTGATTGATAAGCATAAGCCTCTTAATATTATCGAATACTGATCTCTGTTATAGTGAATTCCTTACCATTCAGAACTAATGCATTTGTATGAAATTGTATATTATTTTATGTATTGTAAATCTTTGTAAAAACCGAAAGCAAGATTGTACATCAGCCAAGAAATTAACATTGTTAAATTCTACTGTAAACTGATAGTTAATATTTGACGTAACATAAAATGACAGAGAGCCAGCCTAAAGAAAATCCCCAGACGACCTCCCAAGGAATCCCTTTCTCACCCAGCCCCACATCCTTTCTGTAACCTTTGGAATCAAGTAATGGCATTAGAAGAACGCGAGTTTACATTATTATCTTATGAGACAAAGATAATGCGATGTATCTCTATGTATAACTTATTTTAATTCTCAGAAGATATATTCAACGCAATACATTCATAAAGGGATGCGATAAAATCTTCGTTTATCAAGT